TACTAGAGAATGGACTAGAGGATATGGGGAGGGGGAAGGGTAAGCTGTGACAAAGCGAGAGAGAGGCATGGACATATATACATTAACAAACGTAAGGTAGATAGCTAGTGGGAAGCAGCCGCATAGCACAGGGAGATCAGCTCGGTGCTTTGTGACCACCTGGAGGGGTGGGATAGGGAGGGTGGGAGGGAAGAGACGCAAGAGGGAAGAGATATGGGAACATATGTATATGTATAACTGATTCACTTTGTTAAAAAGCAGAAACAAACAAACAAAAAAGAATGCTGGCAGCCATGATGAAACTGCAGGGGTGCTAAAGGGACAGCCTTTACTATCCTCAAGAGGCCTAAGAACAGAGAGACCTGCTTTCCATGCCTCAGCAAAGAGATGCTGGCTTTCCAGTTCATTTGTTGAGACATTAGACCAAAATCTGCAGCTGTACCTTTCACCACCTGTCAGTTCATCACCATTAAGAGACACCAGTAGCCTGACCTGTGTGGGTATGAGTAGGCAAAGAAAAATCACAACCAATTTAAGAGGATGCAATTGAAAAAAAAACAAGAACAGGTGGCTCCTGTTGAGGCAGAACTAATGGGAAAGACAGACAAGCACTATAACAAAAACAAAAAAAAGTAATAAGAACTCTTAAGGAGATGCAATTAGATCACAGAAAAAAATTCTGGAAGAAATAAAAGCACTATTTCTGAATTTAAAAATTCAGTAGAGAAACCAAACAATAATAGTCACTGATGAGAACTGAATTAATATTCTGGGAAAAACGACTGGAAACAATATTTCATAACAGGGCAAAAACTTGAAGAAATGGGAACCAGGTGCAAAAAGATATGAGACATGGATGGCAAATCCATAGATGTCAGATCCATGGGACCAATATAAGAAATAATGGCATCGTAGAAAGAGGAAAAGGAAGAAAGAGAGAAGTAGCAATCAAAGAAATGACAGAGAAAACTGCTCTGGGATAATAAACAGCAAAGCTTTTCAGATTGGGAGGGTACTGTAAATTCTAGGAAAATCAATGAAAGAAGTTATGTTCTGGTGACATTTGTGAAGTCGAAGGATAAAGAACATAAGCTTCTAGACACAGAAGATATTATTTACAAAGGAAAGAGAATCAACTTAATATCAAACTGCTACACTGAAATGGATGTAGTGGAAAATCATTTACAAAGTTCCTAAAGAAAAATGCTCTGATTTAAGAATCTTATGCCCATCCAATATATCATTTAGTAAAGATAAAGAAAGATTTGAACTCAAAAGTATAACATCTATGTACCCCTTCTGCAGAAATTACTCAAGCTTAGACAGAGAGGAAAGGATGTTAATGCCGCTCTCAAAATGAGCTTATTCACAAAATTCCTGAAACTTATTCTGTGTGTTAAGGAGAGCAGTGTCTGATTGAAGCCGTGATTTCATGATGGATGCCTTAGCTGTGTCAGAGGCTTCGAAGTCACTCCATTACCTCCTCCTCTGCTACAGAATTGAACACAGGGGAACTAGGCATGGAGAGTTCACAAAGCACCCATATGCTTTATTTAGTTGTGAAACAGACAAACAGAACTCCTCTTTGAGTGGAGAAATATGGTTCTGATTTTGGATGCTACCTGTCTGACTGAATTTTGGACTTCCAAGATGTCAAGTGTTAGATGGCTTTGGTTTGAACTTAATGATACTCACTTAGATGGACCAAGGCATGGCAGAGATGCCATTTAAGAGCAGTATATTTACATCTGATTCATTCAATCTATTAAATATTTATTGAGTCATGAAGAGAAAGTCTGGGGTTTAACAAGATCTTTCACTGGATATAAGAGGCTAAGATTTGTAAAAGACATTGTTTATAGGATAGAAAAAGGACTCACCACAGGCAATTCAAACTCCATAAAAATTAAGCCCCTGACTTATACTTTCCCCTTCAAAAAAACACCCCCCAAAAAAAAACACACACAAAAAAAGACAAAAAACAGAGGTCACATGGCTTAACGTATCCACCCAGAGGTACAGACTTTAATGGATTGGAAAGCTTTTGTAAATTCTAACTCAATACCTAATGGTATTGTCCACCATTTGCATAAAAGAGGAAATAGAAACAAACTCAAGATGCCTGATGAAGATCAATGGATCATCAAGAATCATTCTTACCAGATGGGAATGTAAATTGGTGCAGCCACTATGAAAAACATTATGGAGGTTCCTCAAAAAATTAAAACTAGAGTTGTCATTATAATCCAGCAATCCCACTCCTGGGCATGTATCTGGACAAAACTGTAATTTGAAAAGATACAGGTACCCCAGTGTTAATAGCAGCACTGTTTACAATAGCCAGGTCATGGAAGCAAGTGTCCATCAACACCAAGTATCCACTGACAGATGAACGAATAAAGAAGATGTGTGTGTGTGTGTGTTTGTGTGTGTGTGTGTGTGTGTGTATACACCCCCACAGTGAAATACTACTCAGTCATTAAAAAGAATGAAATAATGCCATTTCTAGCAACATGGATGGACCTAGAGATGATCATACTAAGTGAAGTAAGTCAGAAAGAGAAAGACAAATACCATATGCTATCACTATATGTCAAATCTAAAATATGACACAAATAAACTTATTTACAAAACAGACTCACAGACATAGAGATCAGACTTGTGGTTGCCAAGGAGGAGGGGGGTTGGGAGAGGGATGGATTAGGAGTTTGGGATTAGCAGATGCAAACGACAGTAAGTCCCCTACATACGAACCTTCAAGTTGCGAACTTTCAAAGATGCAAACGTGCGTTCACAAGTCCAATCACATAAGTTAGTTCACGTGTCTGGCGTACATTGTCACGTGTGTGCATCCTCTACAAGTGGTTGTGCTTTTGTGTACTTTACTGTATAGTACTGTATAGAGCACAGTAGTGCAGTATCTTTATTTCAAGCTAGATCTGCAAGAGGACGACTTCATTGAACTCCTTGCTGTGCAACACGAGGAGCTGACTAATGAAGACCTGATGGAATTGGAGGCCCAGAGAAAGGATGAAGAGAGACAAGAGGGAGAAGAAGTAACTGAAGAACCGAAGAGATTCACGATGCAGGAAATGGCGAGGGGTTGTTTTTTATTTGAGGAGGCACTGTTAGTTTTTGAGGCACAGGACCCGAATGTAGAATGGTACGTGAAGGTTGCAGCGGTCATTCAGAATGCAATCCAGTGCTACCATGTCATCTATGACTAGAAAAAAAGAGCTACTACCCAGACATCACTGGATCGTTTTTTCAAGAGGGTAGATAGATTGAATCCAGCAAGCACCCAGAACCTGTGCCATCAACGTCAGGCATGAGTGAAATTGCAGCTTGTCCTCTGTCTCCTATTGCTGACGATCCTTCAGCTCTACCATCTCCCACCTCCTCTCCCTCCTCGAGTCAGTAACTCTCGTTGCCTGTTCACTCGATGCCAGCCCCTGTATGCCAGCTGTTGTGCTGTACTACTGTACTTTTCAAGGTACCGTATTATAAGATTTAAAATGTTTTCCTTATTTTTGTGTTTGTTTTTTATGTACTATTTGTGTGAAAAGTATTATAAACCTAATACAGTACAGTACTATATAGCCGATTGTGTTAGTTGGGTATCTAGGCTAACTTTGTTGGACTTAGGAACAAATTGGACTTACGAACCGAACGCACTCTCAGAACAGAACTCGTTTGTATGTAGGGGACTTACTGTATTATATACAGAATGAATAAAGAGCAAGGTCCTACTATATAGCACAGGAAACTACATTCAATATCCTGTGATAAACCATAATGGAAAAGAATATGATATGTATGTGTATAACTGATTCACTTTGTTATAAAGCAGAAACTAACACACCATTGTAAGGCAATTATACTCCAATAAAGATGTTTAAAAAAAAGTATGAAAAAGAATATATTTATGTATAACAGAATCACTTAGCTGTATACCAGAAACACAACATTGTAAATCAACTATGCTTCAATAAAATGAATTTTTAAAAAATCATTCCTACCAGGAAAACTTCTATGAATTTGAGATTCAGATGTGCCATATACATAGCATTGAACTTCTTGATAATTCCACAGAAATGTACTGCCAAGTAAACGTTATATCTCACTTTGAAACCTGGAAGTTACTAAGTCTTATAGAAGTCATGGGAAAGTTTCTGTTATCATTGGAAAAATTTTCTTCCAAGAAGACAGCACAAGGAGGAAGTAGTAGTATAATCATTTCTCTTCACATACAACACGCAGTCCCAAGAAGTGATTGATTCATTGTGAGGTTTCCACTAACATGGAGGTTATAGACATCCAATGCTAATCTCCTACATCTGGAAATTTATGTTAAAGCTTCCTGTTTTAATCTCAAAAGAAAACCCCAGTATTCCTTTAAAATTACTGTCAACAAATGAAACAGAATTTTAAAAGGTGTAAAGACATCGAGTTAAGATATTTTCACCAGTAGGTTACCTGCACACTGACCACAATGACCAAAGACGTGGCCATGGTCACTGCAAAAGACTGGTAGTCTGCAATGTGCTGTCCATCTTCTCCAGCCACGTTGTAAAAGGCCCCATATGGGATGAAGAAAAGGGCTAATGAGGTGTAGATTCCATGTGCCACGCAGATGAAAAATTTATGCTTGTTAAAAAGTAGATTCAGCTGTCCAGGCTTGTAGAGCTGGGGACAATCCATGCTATTCTGGTCATTAACATCCTGTCAACAGAGAGTTACTTCAGTGGAAGAGGTTTGAGAATTTAGAGATACCCTGAATTTCCTATCTCCAGAAATAGCACATGCATATCTAAGCATGCCCTAATACACACTACTCATTATTTTGTTTTCATTCCCACAGTAACCCAAAGGATAATAAAATGATCCCTATTTTATATAGGGAAATTGAGTCTCCAAGAGAGATTCACGACAGGCCACACAGCTCTTATGGCAGAACCAGAACTTGATTGCACGCAGATAGTTGGCTTCAAATTGAAGTTTCTTTCCTGTACTCTCCTGCAGCTGCATTCATGCTCCCAGAATTCTAGTACATCCCGTGCAGCCAGTGGGCCCCAGGGGTTAATTGCCAACGCAGTGAGTGGTAGTGACCAGGGGATGTCAGCAGAGAGCTGCAGAGTCAGAATTGGCCAACCAGAGTTCCCAACTTTGGGGGAAGCGTGAGCAGGAGAAAGGGAACTGGGAAAGGGGGAACTGAATGTGGGACTCCAGGTGGAAGGGAGCTGAGCCTGAAGAGGTGAGTGTTCTACCCAGGGAGGATTCCACGGGCAGTTACCAGGTGTTCAGGACAAAGAATTTAGACGGAATGAGAAGGCGTCATGTCTGGGCCCAACAGAGTCCTGGGAGAAACTAAAGCTGTGCTTCTCAAACTTCATGTACACGCTAATAACCTGGGGTACAGATTATAATTCAGTAGGTTTGGGGTGGGGCCTGAGACTGCATTTCCAACAAGCTCCAAAGCAATGCTGATGACCACACTGTGAGCACCCCAGCCGAACACCCCAGCCAAAAAGTATGGCAAGGACTGACCACTGGCAACATCACAGGGTCATGGGTAAGGTGAAGCAGGCAAAGAGGGAGCAACATAAGCATGAACTCTGGGAGCAGACCAAGTTCCCCTTCCTGCTTGTGGGATGACCCAAGGCCTTGCCAAATGGAGTCCCATGAAGAACATTGACATAGTCTCTTTGAGAAGTCCAGTTTTGAGATGCTAGTGGGTGCTTCTTTCCCCAGTCCAGTGACTGATAAGGTTATATACACAGGCTTTGAAGCCAGACAATCCTGATTCAAACCCCAGCTCTGCTGCTTAGCAGGGGTGTAGTCTTGGACCTGTCACTTAAGCTGTGTGAGCCTCAGTTTCCTCATCTCCAGGAGTATAAACGACAGCATCTCCCTCACAGGATCACTGTCATGATGAAATGGGTACGTATTCAGCAGAGCTCTTACCACAGTTCTTGTAATTAAAAAACAGATGCTTCTATAAATAATAACAAAAGAATGATGATAGTAATAGTAACAACAGTAATAGTGTTGCAATCTCAGAGTCAAGTGGCCTATTGCTAGGTTGAGTTCTGTCACATATTGGCCATGTGACTTTAGGAAAGTAACCTGAACTTCTGAGTTTTGGTTTCCTCCTTATAAAATGAGCAGACCCACAGACGGTCACTGAGGCCTTCCAGCATAGCATCCCATGATCTGGAGATCAGTTTAAGCGCCAGAGTTGACAAAGCAGGACAGGATAGGGGTATACACTCAACTTGATGGCAATAAGGGGCCTTATTATACACACAGTTGACCCTTGAACAACATGGGTTTGAAGTGAGCAGGTTCACTTCCACACAGAATTTTTCAATAAATATGTACTACGTGATCCACTGTTGGTTGAAACTGCAGATGCAGAACCATGGATGTGGAGGGCCAACTGTATAACTACAGGAGGATTTTTGACTGCATGGGGAGGGGGGCCAAGGTGAGGGGGACCCCTAACCCTTCTCTTGTTTCAAGGATCAACTGTATATTTTTTCTCTATATCTCTTAGCCCTTAGGTTGTTTCCATATCTTATTTATTATAAATAATGCTGCAATGAACATAGGAGAGCATATATCTTTTCAAATTAGTGTTTTCACTTTCTTCGGATAAGTACCCAGAAGTGGAATTCCTGGATCACTTGGTAGTTTTATTTTTAATTTTTTGAGGAACCTCCATACTGTTTTCCATTCTGTTCAGATTTTATACTTAATCATAGTTCAGTCTTGGTAGGATGTATGTTTCTAGGAATTTATCCATTTCTTTAAGTTGTCCAATTTGTTGGTGTATAACTGTTCATATTAGTCTCTTATGATCCTTGTATTTCTGTGGTCAGTTGTAATATCTCCTCTTTTATTTCTGATTTTATTTATTTGAGTCCTCTCTCTTCTTTTCTTGGTGAGTCTACTTAGAGGTTTGTCAATTTTGTTTATCTTTTCAAGGAACCAGCTCTTAGTTTCAGTGATCTTCTCTATTGTTTTCTTAGTCTCTATTTATTTCTGCTCTAATCTTTGTTATTTCCTTCCTTCTACTAACTTTGGGCTTTGTTTGTTCTTCTTTTTCTAGTTCCTTGAGGTATAAAGGTAGGTTGTTTATCTGAGATGTTTCTTGTTTCTTGAGGTAGGCATTTATTACTATGAACTTCCCTCTTAAAACTGCTTTTACTGTATCCCACAAATTTTGGTATGTTATATTTCCATTTTAATTTGTCTCAAGGTTTTTTAAAATTTCCTTTTTGATTTCTTCTTTGACCCATTGGTGTTCAGTAGCATGTCACTTAATCCCTACATATATGTGAATTTTCCAGTTTTCTTCATGTAATTAATTTCTAGTTTTATACCACTGTGGTTAGAAAGATGCTTGATATGATTTCAATCTCTTAAATTTATTAAAACTTTTTTGTGGCTTAACATATGATCTGTCCTTTAAAATAAATGTTCCATGTGCACTTGAGAAGAATTTGCATTTTGTTGCTTTTGGAGGGAATATTCTATATATATACATTGGGTGTATCTGGTATAACATGTCATTTAAGGCCAAAGTTTCTATATTGATTTTCTGCCTGAATGATCTATCCATTGATCTAAGTGAGGTATTAAAGTCCCTTCTATTATTGTACCGCTGTCTATTTCTCACTTTATGTCTGTTAACATTTATTTTATATATTTAGGTGCTCCTATGTTGAGTGCGTAAATATTTACAAATGTTATATTCTATTATTGGATTGATTCCTTTATCATTATATAATGCCCATCTTTGTCTCTTATTAGCCTTTGTTTTAAAGTCTATTTAGTCTTATATAAGTATAGCCACTCCAGCTTTCTTTTGGTTTCCATTTGCATGGGATATCTTTTTCCAGCCCCTCACTTTCAGTTTCTGTGTGTCTGCATCTAAAGTGAGTCTCTTGGAGGCTGCATATAGATGGGTCTTGGGTTTTGTTTTGTTTTATTTTAATCCATTCAACCACTCTATTTGTTTTGATTAAATAATTTAGTTCATTTACATTTAAAGTAATTATTGATAGGTAGGTACTTATTGCCATTTTGTTCATTGTTTTCTGGCTATTTTTGTAATTCCTTTCTGTTCCTTTCTTCTTCTCTTGCTCTCTTCCTTTGTGGTTTGATGACTTTCTTTAGTGATATGCTTATATTTCTTTATATTTTGTGTATTTACTATAGGTTTTTGCTTTGTGGTGATACAAGGCTTATAAATAATACCATATCTATAATAGTCTATTTAAGTTGATAACTGCTTAAGTTTGGTTCCATTCTAAAGCTCAACATTTTTACTCTCCCCCCACATTTTATGTTTTTGATATCACATTTTACATCTTTTTATCTATTACTTAACTATTGTAATCATAGTTATCTTTACTACTTTTGTCTTTTAATATTCATACTAGCTTTATAAGTGATTAAACCACTACCTTTATACAGTTGACCCTTGAACAACACAGGGTTAAGGGCAACAATGCTCACACAGTCAAAAATCTGAATATAACTTTATGGTCAGCCCTCCATATTCATGGTTTCACATCCGTGGATTCACCCAACTGTGGATTGTGTACCCACACAGTTCAAAACTGTGTTGTTCAAACCTTTTGACCGAGATTTATTCCTTCACATGTTTTCTTGTTACTGATTAGCACCTTTCTTTTCAGATTAAAGAAGCCCCTTTAACATTTCTCATAAAGCTGGCTTAGTAGTGATGAATTCCTCTATCTTTTGCTTGTCTGAAAAACTCTTTCTCTCTCCTTCAATTCTGAATGATAATCTTGCCAGGCAGAATATTCTTGGTGAAAGTTCTACCTTTCAACTTTGAATATATCATGCCACTCCCTTCTGGCCTGCAAAGTTTCTGCTGAAAAAAATCTGCTGATAGTCTCACGGGGGTTGCCTTGTATATAATAATTTGTTTTTCTTTTGCTGCTTTTAATATTATTTCTTTGTCTTTAACTTTTGATGGTTTGATTACAAAGTGTTTTTCTGTGGGTCTCTTTGGGTTCATCTTATTTGGAACTCTCTGAGCTTCCTGGGTCTGGATGTCTGTTTCCTTCCCAGGTTGGGGAAGTTTTCAGTCATTATTTCTACAAATACAGTTTCTGCTCCTTTCTCTCTCTCTTCCCCTTCTGAGACCCACATAATGTGAATGTTGGTCTGCTTGATGTTGTCCTGTAAGTTCCTTAAGCTATCTTCACTTATTTTCATCCTTTTTTCTTTTTGCTGCTCTGACTGGGTGAGTTCCTGTCTTCAAGTTGACTGATCCTTCCTAATGTTTCATCTAGTCTGTTATTGAATCCCTGTAGTGTATTAATCACTTCAGCTCTGGTATTCTTCAGCTCTATGACTTCTACTTGGTATTTTCTTATATTTTTCATCTTTTTGTGGAACTTATTGTGTTCATGCATTCTTCTCTCTAAGATCATTGCTTTTCTCTGTTTCTTCATTTTGTTTGACTCTCTTGTGTTTGTTTTCATACAGCTGACAAAACAAACACTTCTCCCTGTCTCCAAGAGTGGCCTCATGTAGGAGATAAACCTTATTGTTCAACCCCGCCCCAGCTCTTTGTTGTCTCTCAAACCTTCATGCTTGTTCAAAGAGCCTATTATATCTTTAACAGCTCTCAGTAGTTGAGAATGTGCCAAGACATGTCAGTGTCAGGGTCAGATTATAGCACCTAGATTCAGGCTGATGGGAATCTAGGCCCTCAAGCAGCAGTTTTTAAAACCATGCAAATATATACCTGTGGGACTGCAAGAATGAGCCTCGCTGGCCACGAGAACCAGGCAATCTAGGAGGTTCCCTATGCCGCAGTCACAAAAGCCAGGGCTCCATATTAATGCATAAGCTCTTTTCTGGGAGATGGCAGAAAGCTGGAGCAAGGCAGAGGGAGCAGACCAAGATGGCATCCACAGCTTACATTCCTTGAGAGCAGCTTCCTCAGCCCCCAGAAGTGTGCCAAACCTGAAGCCTGCCCCTCAGGCTGAAGCTCCAGGACAAAGAGTTCCTTTTTCCAGAAAGACTGGGAGTGGGTTTCAGTCTGCTGTCTGTGCAGTGCCCTGGGGGTAGCCTGCCAAGAACCAACTCTTCATTTGCTACTGTTTCATGGGACCCAGGAACACAAGCCCCCAGCCACAAGAGCCAGGTGATCAAGTGGTGTCCCCTGGGCAGCAGCTACAAGAACCAGGGCACCAGCCACATGTGAAGCTCCTCTCCAGGAGACCCTGGAGCTCTAGAAGGTGGCACAGGGAGAGCATGAAGGTACTGCCTGCCCTCTGAGGTCTCTGGAAACAATGACAGTCAGCCCCTAGATGCACGTTTAATTAGACGGTTACCCCTCAGGCCTCAGCTATAATGATTAGCTAATAGGCCTCCTTCACAGAAAGACTGAGCTCCTGAGTCTGTTGCCTCTTGCTCTGCCCTGGGAGGGGTGGTAGATATTTAAGAACTCTCTCTCCTCTGGTTACAATCCTGTGAGACCCACGAGTGTAAGCCCCACTGGCCACCAGAGCCAGATGATGTAGAAGTGTTCCCTGGCAGCAGCCGTAAAAATCAGGACACCAGATAGGAATATGAGCTCCTTTCTGGGTAACACCCATTACTATAGTCCCATGGGACCAGGAATGCAAGTTCCCCTGGCCTCCAGAGCCAGGCAGTCAAGAGGTGTCCCCTGGACAGCAGCCACAAAAATAGGGGCACCAGACACATGTAACAGCTCCCTTTCAGGAGGTACTGGTGCTCTGGAGTATGGCAAAGGGAGAGTACAAGGATGGCACCCACCAGTCTCTGTCCCTGGAGTGTGTTCCAGCGGGCTCCTAGATGTGTGTGTTAAATAAGATGCCTTTCCCCAGGCTGATGATTTAATATAAGCTGGTGAGCCTCCATCACTGGGCATGATCTGCTGCCTCTGAGCTGGGCCCAAGGAGCAAGTGGGTCTGAGCACACGGGCCCATTCAGAGCCATTTCTTAGATCGCTTCAGTCTTGTGGGTCTTGGGACATGAGCCTCATTGGTTTTAGGAGGTTCATCTCTCAGGTGCAGGTGCAGGTCTGAAATGTTAAGGTGCCCAATGTGGGGTGCACACCCTTCACTCCTAAGGCAGAAGCTTCAGGTTTTGAGTTTTCTCCCTGTTGAGGACTGTCATGCTGAGGGCGGGGGTGGGGTTTATGGTGACATTGTGTGCCAGCCTCTCCAACTGGCTTCCATGTGGTTTTCTTCAGCCAGCCTTTAGGGTTTTTTAAGAGAAAATTTTTCCTCCTGTAGCTGTAGACCCACTGTGCCCATAGGAAGAGGTGAGTTCGGGATCTTCCTATAACAACATCTTGAATTCTCCCCTTATATTTTTTCAAATTGCACAATAACCATCTTTTCCCAGAAATTGCTTTGTATTTAATATTTTACTCCACATTCTGGGCAGCTACAAAGTACCAAGGAAAGGAACACTTGCAAACATGGGCACCTGGAAATGAAGGAGCTTAATCCCTTACATCTAAGGTCTTCAAGAGTTCATTACTTTTTGTAGAATTTCACAAATATGTTGTTCACAAACTGCCCTTTTTACATACAAGAAGTGAGGCTTACAACTGACTACAGAGCCTCAGAATGGGAGAGTAGAGTGAGCTCATAATGCGAAGATTTATATTTTGCAATAGATGGCTCTGGGCCAGAAAATGAGGCCTAGCAAATGGATCTAACAACAGCCTGGAGAAAATCTGGTCTCTTTAAAAATACCTCAAAAAAATTTTTTAAACAATACACTCTGTGCCATGAAAGCTCCTCTGGCTAGCCTTTCACTTCCCCATAGGCAGCCAGACTTTGTCCCTATCCAGGAAGTACCCTCCAAGGGTCTGAGTGTGCCAAGGATCTACCATTTTATAAATGATTCCCTCCCTTCTCTCCCCTCAAGCACGTGGAGCTAAACCAAAGAAAACTGCTCACTTTCTCTCTCCATGGCTGTGGGGCGCCGTGTCTTCCTCTCCCATTGGCAGGGTGTTCCTCTGGCCTGGAGTTCCTGTTCTGGGCTGTGCTGGACAGTGTCACCACAGATGCTAGCTCTCTGCACTCCAACCCAGCTCCATGATTTTCTATGTATCACTGCACGGTTCTCTGCACTTTCAGAGGCTAATACAGTATTCCCTGGTGTGTGAACCACAGGTACTAGTTCTGAGGCATACTGATCAGTTCTACATGAAAAATAAATAGGTAAACGTGCAGTTCTATGAGTTTGGGAAATGCTGGGCTACAATGAAATTAAAGAGACTGTTTCTTGCAGGATGTCTCAGAGCCTTTAGAGGAATAATGTAGGGTGTGAATCTTTAAGAGGATAGTAATCAAGCTCTGATCAGAGGATCTTTTGGTGGAGGTGGGAGATCTGGAAGGGTTTTTGAGCCATGCAATACGTATTAAAACAACTGCATTCCTAGGACCCTTTCTATGATTCGTGTCTTCTACTTAGAAGCTAAAAGCAACTAAAAGGCATCCACAGAGCAAAATACGTTATAAAGGCAGAGAAAAACACATACCTGGTCAAAAATCCCCATGGCTAAAACAGGCAGTGATGTGTAGACAATGTTAAAAAGGGTAATGAACCACTGGTCATAGACAGTCTGAAAAGAAATGAACACATCAGTGAGAAACATCTTCCACAGGTGTGAGAATATTCACTTTTAGGCTCTTGGGCTGACCATCTCAATTTCCTGAGTTGGACGGGAGTTTGGTGTTAGAGTCAGACAGACATGAGTTCTCCCCAGGCTCTGTCTCTTATCAGCTCCACTGCTTTAGTGGGGTACTAGATCTTTCTAAACTTCAATTTCTTCATCTCTAAAATGAAGCCATACTCTCACTTGCCGAGTTGCAGTGGAGGTGGATGAAAGGGTATCATACATGCCGAACACATAAAACAATGCTGGACACACACAAGGCCCTGGCCCCTGTGGTGGCTTATTTCATTCTTTAGGTTTTTAATGGCTTATAATAAGTCCAATTACCTGATCTAAGCAATAAGCAAGGATCCGCTAACATCTTCAGAGGGAGATACGGAAATGAACCTGTCAGCCCCACGCTCTGTTCAAATGGAGAGCTTTTTCTTGGGAGTGGTTTAAAGCAAGGTGGGCCTGGAACTAGCTGCTCACTACAGTGGGTATAAATAAGTAAGACAATAAAAATATCCCCTCACACCTATAGAGAACACTTCCCTGCATGAGCCTCACTAAAAGTCAATGAGGCATGTGAAACAGTCATCATATCCTCATTGTATTAATAAGTACCTAGAGATATAGAAACAGAATGTAATAAGTGTTACAGAGCTTATCACAGGCAAAGGCAAAAATTAAAACCTAGGTCTCCAGATCCTAACCAATGTCTGTTCTACCACTCTGTCATACATTCATTCATTCATTCAATATTTATTAAGAAACCACTATGTGCCAGGTACCAGGTTCTAGGCAATGGTATTTGAACATGATACAATCAGATAAAAATTCCATATGAAATATGCCTTGTAATGGTGTCAGGAAACAGACAAACAATTTATACAATAACGAAGATATATATATATATATATATATATATATATATATATATGGTTGGTGAGTGAATGAGTGAGATGGTAATCAGTACTAGGGTGGAAAAGGGGATAGGAAATATAGGAGGGCTGTAATTGTGATAAGGTGATTGGAGAAGGTCTCACTAAGAAGTAATATTTGAGAAAAAATCTGAAGGAAATAAAGAATCGAAATTTGCAGCTTTCTGGGACAGGACAATTTCATACTGCAAGTAGAGTGCATGAAAAATCCCTGAGGCAAGAAAGCATCTGGTATGTTCAGAGGACAGCACGACAGTCCATCTGGCTGGAGCAGAGTGACCTACAGGGAGTATAATGATGTCAAAGAAATAAAGAGGATCCTATGGAGGTAACCATGGCTTATTCCCTAAGTAAAATGAGAAGACATTAGAGGATTTTGAGCAAAGAAACATCCTGATCCGATTTGTATTTTAACCTGAGCACTCTGGATGCTGTGCTGAGAATGGACTGAAGAGGGGCAATTGTGGAAGTTGGGAAACCAATTAGGAGGATACTGCAGTGGTCCAGATGAAAGACGAAGGGGGCTGGATCAGGTGATCAGCAGGGAGAAGTGCTAGATTTTGAATATATTCTGAAGCACATTTTCTTCTTAGGGCAATTCTGAAAGCAATGAGGAATCTTAAATGCAAATGTTCCAGACAGAGAAACTAAAGGTAGGTTCTACATAGTTATACAGGTAAGGCGATCCTTTAAATCATGTCCTGTACATGTACATTATGTTGAAGACAAAATATTTTGGTGTCTTTATTGCTAAATCTGGATTTGGACTACTCTATGTCTTAGCATTATTGTTTATTCTTGAGATGGGTGTATATTTGTTCAAGGAAAGGGGAAGTGGAGGCCAGTGTTCAAAGGCCAAATCTCAATCTGGACTGTTCTGTTGAAGCTCCACAGGTGGTTTTATTCAATACTGAATAAACCAGACACTATGAAAAAATGGTGATTATTGTATTCTGAGCAAGGTTAGCCCCATGGTAAGAAGTAAAGAGCATGGACATTCCCACTGTCAGTCATCTCAAGGAGAGTTTATTCTTAGGGCAAAAAAAAAAAAAAAAGAGAACAGAAAAGAGGAGTGGGGTAGATGAGGGAAGGAAGGAAATTATTTTACTCTCTGTGTATCTCAGAGAGTTGAGGCCTGGAATCGACATAGGAAAGACCTGCTCAATGTCATTCTCTTTGAGGGTAGGCTGAACGACAAGGCAGGAAAGTTGAATTCAACCACCAATAAACAGCTGAGACAGGATTTAGGCAAAGCGGCAACATTAGTAACTACCATCAAGAGGCCTATGCCTGTGACTCAGAATAACCATTCTAGTAACCAGGTTTTAAGTTCTCTGAACGGTAATTCCCTGTTGTTATTCTCTGAGGCCTGCTAAACTCTGTTCTTTGACTCTGACTCTGCTGTGAGGATTTGAAAGGGGGGCCTATGTCCAGAGACGTGCTAAGTGTTTAACAACTAGCTCTTCAAAAGAAAGAAAAAGCCCTGATTTGTAGCCTTGACCAATTTCCATGGTGTAAATATCTTCCCATGACTGTTCAAGCAGTCATATCACTGAGTTGAGAAGCGAGGTGCCATAGCACGCCATTGTATATAGTATTTCCACCACACAGATCCAACAGATAGAAATAACCTCAAGAGCACCATCAGCAAAATATGGTAAAAGCTAACTTAAAAGGGACGAGTTTTGAGTATTCATGAACTTTGTGTTTCATATAATTTATTTAACTCGTAAGTTTATATAATTTAATTTTTAATAACAGCTGTGTTTAACCACTGGCTCACATAAATCCTAAGAATTTAACAATCAGTTCCTAGGAACCAACATGGGCCAGCTCTAGCATACCACAGCCTATGTTTACGCTTGGAGCAAAGTAGTACAGACAGCAGCAGTGACCCAGAGGATCTTAGACTCAATGTGGCAAGAGAGAACCTACAGAAGGGCAGGTCAATAGCCTGGAGTATCAGGCAACCATGAGAATAGACCAGAAAAGTTTGTCAGCACTCCCTGGAAACCCCAGGATATTTTAGCAGAGGTATCTGAAACAAGCCTGGGTTTATGGTATGCATATAAGATAGGGGCATGTGCCATCAGTAACAACTGATTCATACCAAACTCCCCACTGAAGATAACAAAAAAAGCTAAGGAAAAGAAGTATCTTCATCAAAGCTTCAATGAACTAACTAGTGGGGAATACCTGTCAAGATAAAGGAGAGGATAAGAATTTAAGAACCACTTCAAGGCGCAGGATGATGTCTTCTTTCTCCAGAGAGTGTGTTTATCTCCTTCTATCAGCTGCTGAGGTTGGGATGAAGGCCTGATGTTTTCTGCACCACCCAGCTGTCCTGCCTGTGAGCTCATTGCCAGGAGGCTGCCCTTGGGTCCCAGTCCAGAGAGGGAAGTATTTCAACAGGATCTCTACCCTTGACAGGCATCAAACCTTATCCCTCTAGTCTCAGGAAACGATTAAAAGAGAGGATCCTGAACTTCACAGTTGCCTCCTGTAGATCATCAACATCCTCAAGGCACATGGCTCAGAGCAGTGCAAACCTCCAGGGTCCCAGCCCAGAGCAGAGTGTTAACAGAGTCCCAGACACCAACTCCTATCTTCTGGACTCCGGTTTGCTCAGCCTCTCTCTCTTCCTTCGGATGAGCAAAGGTGTCCAACAAATCTATTCCTAGAGATATATGTTCAGAATGTCTGCCTTCGTGTACGAGGAGACATATGAAAATGCTCATACCAGAACTGGTTATAACAGTCCCAAACCAGAAGCATCCATCAGGAGTGGAATGTAGAAAGACACTGTAGTATATTGATATCATAGAATTCTACAGAATAATGAAAAGCAAGGAACTACAGCTATATCCAAAACCACAAATGAATCAAAAAATATATACAATGTTGAGCAAAAGAAGCCAGACAAAAACGTATGATTCCATTTCAATAAAGTTTAAAAATGTGCCAATCTATTCTATGTTGTTTAGAGATTTATACTCATAGGATAAAATTATAAAACAAAGTGATTATAAAATATCAGGGCAATGATTAACTCCAGAGAGTTGGAAAATGAGGTGTGACTGAGAAAAGGCAAGGGAGCTTCTGTGGTTTGGCAACGTTCTGGTTCTTGCCCTGGATCGTGGTGACGTGAGTGTTCATTTTACAATTTGTTAAGCTGACATTTATGTATTACGTACTTTTTTGGTAGATTTGTTATATTTTACAGTAAAAAAGGAAACACATGACCTTATTTTTTAGTCATAGCCTGGTGAGACTTTGGGCACTGGGAGGATTTTTAAAATCCTGATGACCATGCCACATCCAGGCCAATTAAATCAGTATCTTTGGAGGTGGGATGATCCAAGCATCGGTAATAGAAAAAATTTCCCAGGTGATTCCACTGTGAAGCCAAGATTGAGAATTTCACTTACCGCCATCCCAAAAAAAAAAAAAAAAAAAGCACTAGCTGACACAAATCCTCAAGCAGTAGCTGATGGCGTCTTCTGACTTTCATTTCAATTCATTTTCTGATTGCAGTATGGAAAATATAAGAGGGGGAAAGCAATTAAATTGAAGTCTTATAGCATCAGGCAGAACCTGGTACTGTCAGATCTCTTCTTCTTCCTCCACCTCATCTACCATCAAACTTCTACTCACTGAGAAGAGATGATTTTAGGTACAAGGAAGAAAGAAAGAATCTGGAAAATTACTACAAGCTAAACTATGAGTAACTGATTAAACCTGCAATTATTTGACAGTAGCATTTGTAAGCTGGCATTCAGATTTGAAGCCTCATTTCACAACTGGAGCAAGAGAGGACAGGAAGGAAAATCAGTGAGAATAAAGTTTAAATGAGTTTTTGCAACTTCTTGCGAGAGCTGTTGCTGCCACACAGAATCACAACAACAAAAAGAAAACTAGCTGATATGTACTGAACACCATATGCACCAGGCACTATTTTAACATAGATTGACTCATTAAATACATATACTGACTCATTAAGTAGTCACAACAATCCTGTGAGGT